GGGATGTAATTCTTGGGATTCTTCAATACTTCAACAGCATGTCCTCTCCCCAGGTAACATCTTTACTCTTATTGGCATCCAGGTAATTGAATCCAGGGGTGTGACAGGTCTTTTGCCCCAATAAATCATGTAGATTTGGCCCAGTCTTGGGTTTGCATCCCTTTTTCACAATGTGGCATTGGACACACTTCTGGATAAACATCTTCTTGCCCTTCTCAATATCACATCTCTTTAATTCACTCCCTCACTGCGCTCCACACAACTGTAACGCTTCAGAGGAAGCTGGATATTTAATTTTCTCCACAATCGTCATGGTAGAGCCCATCATGGTAACTGACTGGGCTCAGCTAAAGCAGGCCGAAGCCCCTGCTTCCCTGCCTATCCCTGGAGGTCAGCAGTTGCCCCCTGGGATGAGGAAACCAAAAAAACAGCGCCAGGGATGCCTGGCTCCCTGATAACCTAACCGGACACCCTACTTGCCAGAGCTGATAAACTGCATCCTGAGCCATAAACCTTACGGCTGACCTCCTAGGCCATAAACCTCACTGCTGACATCATGGACCATAAACCTCACTGCTGACATCCTGGACCATAAACCTTGCTGTTGCAGCAGGGACCTCCCTCTCCCCGCTTTCCTTTAAAAACCCCAGACCCCAAACAGGGCCCCGCGACTCCCCTGGGCTACTTGCTAGACGATGGGTATTAGCCCAGGAGCTCCCGACTAGTAAAGCTATTTCTGTTTCTGCTCTCTCTTTGTCCTGTCAGCTGTGCCTCACTTTACCTCTCACTCGCCCTGTGCCTCAGTTCGTCTTTACAGTAACTACTATGCCAATCAAGTTTTTCCTTTTCTTTTAGGGTTTCAAAGTAGTGTATTAGGCCAGGTTGTCTAGAGAAATAAATCCAGGGGCACGTTGAATGGATTGAAAGAAAAATCAGGAAAGCTACAGATGAAATCAAAGAAAACACAGAAAAAATTTAAGAGATTTCAGGAAACCACTACAAGAACACAATGGCAAAATAAATACAAATATAAATCACACAAAAACAAACTAAAAATCAAATTTTACCAAAAATTATTACTAATATTTCAAAAATGTATATATATTGAAAGAACAAAAAAGTATAACTGAATTAATGAAGAGCTGAATTACAGAGCTTGAAGATACATTTTTCCATATTAATCTGCTATAGGAACAATAAAAAGTATACGCATATAAACAAACAAACAAAATCAGATAAAAGCCTAATAATTATGCAGGACACCATCAAGAAGAATAAGCTACATGTGATCAGATTTCCAAAGTAGAAAGAAACAACAAAAAGCCTTGAGAAAATTGTAAGTTTGTGTTAGACCAAGTTGTCGAGAGAAACAATTCAGTCACACTCATATATGTTTAAGAAAGAACTTTGGAGATAAGACAAAATAATAATAATTTATAAATTATGAAGGGTTCGTGAGGGAGGGGGCAGTGGGGAGGGAGGGAAAAATGAGGAGCTGATACCAGGGCTCAAGTAGAAAGCAAATATTTTGAGAATGATGATGGCAACAAATGTACAAATGTGCTTGACACAATGGATGGATGTATGGATTGTGATAAGAATGGTACAAGGCCCCAATAAAATTATTTTTTTTTAAAAAAGGAAGAACTTTGGGGGGGAAAAAGAAGAGCTTTGTATCAAGAAGTCATTATAAGGGGCAGTTCTGCCCTGTCCTATAGGATCACCACGAGTCAGAATTGACTCCATGGTAGTGAGTTTTGAGTTTGAGTTTAATTTCTTCCAATGTGTGTTAACAGTTTCTGTGTACACATTTTGCACTTCTTTTGTTAAATGTATTCCTCAGTATTTTATTCTTCTCAATGCTTTTGTACATGAGATGTTTTTCAATTTTATATTTGGATTGTTCTTTGATATGCTTTAAAAATACAACTGGTTTTTAAAATTAAAAAAAAAAAAGAAGTAATTACGAAAAGTATTACGAAAACATCCCAACCCAACTCAAGTTCATAAGTTTGATGCTAGTCCATAAGTCCCTCTTCAGACTCCAGTATTAAATGCTGGTACTATAGAAAGGTTAACTGGGAAGCAGGCTGGTGGTTGCAGTCACAGGGATCCTAGATAGCTGGGAACACAGCTGCTCTCATGGTCAGATGCCCCACATGGGGCCACCTCTCAAGGCAAGAAGAGTTCCAACAAGCAGGAAAGCAGACGGGTAGAGAGAAAGAGAGACCATCTCTGTTCATCTTGCTCTTATACAAAAGGCTTATGATATCAAGGAGGTATCATCAGGCTGAAACTAGATAGATAGGTTTGCCCCCATCCCTAGCCAGGAGTGTCTCCTTGACATAATCCCTAGCCATTACAGAGTTGTTGGAGGAAAGCTTCCCTCACATTATAAAAGAAGGGAAGATGTGCATTCAAGAAGCTGAATGAGCTAAACAGGATAGACCCCAAAATAATTTCACCAGAACATATCATAATCAAATGTTGAAAACCAAAGACAAGGAAAGAATCCTGAGATCAGTTCAGGAAAGTGAAAAGTTATCTACAATGGGAACCAATAAAATTAAATTCTGTTATCACAGCAAAATCATGCAGGCAGTGAGGCAATGGGATGACGTACCGTATATAAAATTCTGAAAGAAAAAGAATGCAAACTAAGAATCATGTACTCAGCAAATTGTTCCTCAAATATGCCTATAAAATTAGGACATTTCCAAAGAAACATAAGTTAAAGGACTATGCAAAAACTATACCAAACTTACAAAAATTCTAAGGGAAATTCTTTGGACAGAGAACCAGCAACAATAGTTAACAATCTAAGATCAACACACAAAATAAATCTATCCGGATGTCAAACAAGATATAGAAGCATCCAAGTAAAAGAAGTCTACAAGTCTGAAAAGAGGGAACAAGGATACCAGTTTTTTAAATCATTTTATTGGGGGCTCATACAACTCTTATCACAATCCATACATATGTCAATTGTGTAAAGCACACTTGTTCGTTGCCCTCATTGTTATCAATTTTTTAAAATAAATCATTTTACTGGGGAGCTCTTACAGCTGTTATAACAATCTATACATCAATTGTATCAAGCACACTTGTACATATGTTGCCATCAACATTTCCAAAACATTTTCTTTCTAATTGAGCCCTTGGTATCAGCTCCTTTTTTCCCTCTCCCTTCCCCAAAGGATAACAATTTGTAATGAAAATGATTTCAAACTAAATAGAGGGAACATTGTAGTTACAGAACTTTCAAATGGAGATGTTAAGTATATTTCAAGATAGAACAGATTTGTTTTAAACTTCAGGATAAATTAATAAAATACATGGAAACGTTAGGTCTCTCGTGGGCTTCTCAGAGAAATAATTCACGCAGAAGTCTGGTTTGTGATTCAAGTGAGTTTTATAAAGGATAGAAGCAGTTTCAGGTTTTACATAGGCTCTCTCTGGGCTCTTGACACCCACATGTGGAAACCCGAGGCCAGAGACACCCACATGTGGAAACCTCTGGAAAAGAGACCCAGAAAAGAGGAGCTGGAAAAGAGGAGACACAGCCTGCTGGGAAAGAGCCAGAGAGAAACACTTCGGGCTTCTCAGGGACCCCTTGTGGTCGATGACTAGATGACTGGTGAGCCCCTTTGGCTGAATTAAGCCCACCTGACCTGGATGGGGTTCCACCCAGGTTTACTGGCTTTATGTCTCAAAGACCTGAATGTGTGCACGTCCTCAGCCTTAAGCAGCTTCCAGCTACCTGTTATGGGGGAAGGAGGCTTTGGCATGTAGAGGAACAACCCCTAGTTCTGTCCCTAGCTACCTAACAAACCCACAAACAAAAATAACTCTGCCCAGAAGATCACATGGCAAAATGAAACCAGAAGAACCACAAAGAAGCACACAACCAAATGACACCAATAAATTGATATCCATCAGTAATTTCACTGAATGTAAATGGGTTTAATGTGCCAGTCAAAAGCATAGTGGATCAGAAAACAAGACCCATCAATATGCTGCCTATAAGTGATGTTCCTTAGACACAAAGACAAAAAGACTAAACATCAAAGCATGGGAAAAATGTATCAAGCTAATGGCAATCAAAAAGAGAGCAGGACAGCAAGAGTGGTGATATTAATTTCTAATAAAATAGATGTTAGGGCAAAATCCAGGAAAAGAGACAAAGAAGGATGTCCTATAGTGATTAAAGGGTCAGCTTAATAAGAGGACATAACCATAATAAATATATATGCACCCAATGAGAAGGCATCAAAATACATTAATCAACTCTAGAAAATCGAAGAGTGAAATAGATGACTGATAATCAGAGACTTTCATGCACCACTTTCATTGAAGGCTAGAACAGTAGGAAGAAAGACTTCTGTAGAGACAAAAACCTAATTCCAGTAACAGTTCTGCTGAGGTTGCCTTGTCTCTGCGTCACTCTTGTAGGGTTCATGAAACACTACATAATCATAATTATTTCCTTTGCAAATATAACATTTATGATCCTTTGCCTTGCTGGATAATTTGGGGAACGGTTGACACTGAGTATTGGGTTCCATTTAACATGTGGTCACAAATAAATAAACAACATTTAAATATGGATACAGTTGCAGTGGGGAGGATGGGCTATGAGCTATGGGGTGGTAAATGCAAACCCGTATATCCTTTGATGTTGGTTGGAATCTGAGTTCTAACATTTATTTTTATATCTGGAAGTTAAGGGTCAATATGTACTTCTTGAGGATATTTGGTGTGAGAAAATCACTTAAGATGATTATCTCTGCTTTCAATAAATGTCTATTAATTTGATTTGTTTTATTCACGAGTGGTCAAAGGACACTCGCCAACCAACCAAACGCAGTGCGCTTGCATTCTGTACCCTCTAGAGGGCGATCACGGGCTTTCTGCGTCCCTCCGCAGGTAATTGATGACAGTCTAGCATAGGAAAGAGGCGTGGAAAGAAGGACGTATTCTCGCGAGAACTCAGCCTTTGCGCTCTTCCCTCGCGTAAGGTCAAGTGTTCGTCCATCCAAGGTCTTCTCAGTTCTTTTGGAGCTACACCTCGGAGCCGGTAAGTCTGCGAGTGGCCGGCTGGGCGGGCTCCCTCCCTTCTGCTCTCCGGTTTCGGGCCCATCCTGGGGCGGGGGCGTTGTGATATCCACCCTCCGGGCCGGGGCCTGGCCCCTTGTCAGCCTGCCCTCGGTGTTCTGGGCCCGGGGACGCACTGACAGTCTGCAGGCCGGCCCCGGCGCTGGTGTGACAGCTCCACGATTCCACTGACCCCGGCCTCCAGACTGGCCTTTGGGACTGGCCCGGGCTTTGGGGCTGGGGCGGTCAGAAAGCACATTTCGTACCTTGCTCGGAGGACAAGCAAAAAGCGAGGTTTCCTGGGCTCGTTACGTGGCCCACCCAGCGTTACATACCGTCATGTGTAATTGTTCAACAATCCTGAGAGGTAGTTTAATGATCGCCGTTTTACAGATGAGGAAAAGCAAGGCGTGCTCATTGATTTATGCCTCCAAGAACAATTTTTAATGCGTAGTACGTGTCAAGTGTTAGTGATACCTAGATTAAAAAAAAAAAAAGAACAAAGTCTTAACCTAATCCTAAATTTTTGTGGTGGGTACAACAGTAATCACATAAAGTAATCTAAGTGCTGTGTGTCTATAAACTGAGTGATTTGATTAAGAATATCTGTAATCTAGGGTGCTGGAGTAGATTTGACTGCACCATTTGTGTTATTTGAAATCAGGGTAAAGTTCTTTATATGTAATTAATTGCCTTTCGTTAGATCACAACCCTGGTGGCATAGTGAGTAAGGTTTTTTATTTTTATTACTGGAAACTTGCAGCGGCAGCTCCTTTGTTCGATCGCTGTGTGTCGGAATTGACTATGGTAGTGAGCTTTGAGTTGGCTTCCACTACTCCTTTGGTAATTTGGAAATATGGATGTTGGGATTCTTGAGTTGCTTTCTGAGTAGTTACAGTGGACTCATCTTACCCTGGACCTAGTGTGACATCCCTTTAACTAAGATACCACAGTGGGCCTTCCTCTAGAAGAAGATTCAAATAATAAACTGCACCGGTTGTTCAGCAGTTTGAACCCACCAGCAGCTCCATGGGAGAAAGAGGGTTTCTACTCAAAATTGAAATCTCGGAAACCCACAGGGGGAGTTCTGCTCTGTCCTGTAGGTCACTATGAGTCGGAGTCAATTTGTTGGCAACGGGTTTTTTTTTGTTGTTTTTATTTTTTATTTAGACATATTACTGGGTAGTCTAATGAAAATTTGCTGTTTTGCACATTTGTTAAGTAGATGAGACTCTGTAAAGCCTAGTATATTGATTTTCCTTATGTTTTATTTATTTTCCCCATGGGTCTCTATGAAAAATCCCAAAGGTTTAAAGTTTAAGTTTAAATAAGCCTGTCTAATACATTTGAGCACATAGGCATTTCAAAATTGGAAAGTACATTGAGTATGAAGGGAACAGAAGGTGTGAATCTTAAAGGTGGGAAGAGATTTATTTTACTTGAAAGGCTTTTTTCAAATTACCTCATGCTTTCCTGCTTCCCTCCCCCTCCCCCCCGCCCCCCATTTTTTT